GAAGAAGAAGAAGAAGAAGAAGAAGAAGCAGCAGCAGCAGCAGCAGCAGCAGCAGCAGCAGCAGCAGCAGCAGCAGCAGCAGCAGCAGCAGCAGCAGCAGCAGCAGCAGCAGCAGCAGCAGCAGCAGCAGCAGCAGCAGCAGCAGCAGCAGAAGAAGAAGCAGCAGCAGCAGCAGCAGCAGCAGCAGCAGCAGCAGCAGTGGCACCCAGTACCTGACACAAGCAAGGGTGGTACTTAAAGACAGCTTGCTAAATATGCAACCCATAACCCTATGGATCCATGCCATTAGATCTTCATGTTCTCTACTAATGACCACAGTGTGGGTTGATCAATTCTTTTGTTTTGTTTTTTCAAGGCAAGGTTTCTATGTAGCCTTGGCTTTACTGGAACTCACTCTGTAGACCAGGCTAGCCTCAAACTCACAGAGATCCACCTGCCTCTGCCTCCAGAGTGTTGGGAGAAGCATATGCCACCACTGCCTGACAATGTGGTTAATCAAGAGTTGATACATTACTATGCTAAATATTGATTTATCTTGAGAAAGGATTAGTGGAACTATAAGTGTGTAAACGTCATTTTTTCTTAATCATCTTAAGAGGTTCAATGATACGAGCTCTAAGTTTAACATATAACTCATAGGTTCAGGACATTTACATACCCTCTGAGTTGTTCTTTTGGACCTAAATGTCACTTGTCTGATTACTCAGTACACACCTTAAAAACTCAAAGTAATGCTACTGTGTTGTTATTTCTCCCTTCAAAATACCTTTTGTATGAGTTCTCTCCTGTAGTTCTGAGAACACTAAAGGCTACTCTTTTTTTTTTTTTTCTTCTTAATCGGTTTTGAGCTTACCCTTTCTTGCCGACCCTTTAAAGCCCAGAATAATAAAACAGTGTTTGAGTGAAATTAGTTTCTCCGGGAAATGACTGCATACACTGTTTACACAACAGTGTGCAAACAACACTGATAAATGTCCCAACCTGAAACTCCAGAAAAGAAAGTGAATAGAAACAAAATCAGAAATATTGAAAGCTGGCTTCTTAGTCACCCCTTAGAACTCAAATTACCTGATGCTGAATTTTAAAACATTACTTCTGCAAATATGGCTATGTGCGAACATATCTGTTATTTTTTTTTTCCTTCTTCTACCCCTTTAGACTTCAAACTAAAAACCTCCGAGGGCCACTTTGATACTTTCTCTTTAAAGGGATTTTAAAGTATACCTATTATACCTAAAGTATATTAGAAACAAAAGCACAAAACAAATTCCCACAGTATAATCACGTGCACCTTACAGACAATGAACTGTATGGGAATGGAAGAAAAGCACACAGATATTCATATGGTTATAGAAAGAAATGTATGTGAGCACAGTTAACTAAAGAGAACTCCAGAACGCTAACACTGGAACCCAGCCTATCGCTACCCCTCCCCCCTTTTTTCCAGGGGGGGGGGAAGCAGCAATAAGAAGGGCTACATAATAAAACACAAGTGAATTATTTAAATTAAAAAGAAAACGTGCCGGCAGGCTGAAAAAATTATAGAGAGAGCTTCAGGACCAAGGTGTAAGAAGCCCCTCCACCCCCGCGGGTTTCTTCTGGGGTGGGTATT